CCCGGCCCCCAGCCGCCCCTCAGCCGGTGAGGGCCGGCGGCCACCATGGAGAGCTCCGCGGGGCCGCTCCTCCCGGCGGGGCAGGGCCAGGCCCCCGCCCGTGAGGCGCGGGGGGAGCCATTTTGTCAGGCGATGAGGGCTGAAGGGGCCGCCTCCCCCCGGCGGGCCGAAGGGGAGTCCCTCGGTCCCCACCTCAGAGCCAGGGGCTGCCTCCCTCCCCTCAGCACCGCTGGGGGAGGCCCCGCCGCCTCACCTCTGCAGCCTGGGCCAGGAGATGGAGGAGGAGGAGGAGGAGGAAGGAGTTCCCCCCAGGATAGAACCATCAGGTAATTCAGAAACGTCTCTGCCCCAGCTCTGGGGCTGAACACAAAGGAGGTGGCCAGGAGCAGTGACAGCCCCACGTACCGTAGCACCTCATGGGCCCTGACACTCCTCAAAGCTGCTGCATGAGGTGACAGTGGGGCCTGATCCTTGCAAACACAGCCCTGCCATCATAGAGTCATGGAATTGTCTAGATGATCTTAAAAGGTCCCTTCTAACCAAGTCCAACCATCAACCACAGCCTTCACCACCACGTCTTTTAAATACCTCCAGTGATGGTGATTCCACCATTTCCCTCAGCAGCTTGTTCCGATGTTTGATAATCCTTTTGGTGAAGAAATTTTTCCCAATATCCACCCTAAACCTCGCCTGCTGCAAACTTGAGGCCGTTTCCTCTTGTCCTATTGCTTGGGAGAAGAGATCGATCCCCAGCTCGCTACAAACTCCTTTCAGGCAGTTGTAGAGAGCAATAAGGTTTCCCCCGAAACCATTTATACACAGACCATGTAAATATTGTGTAGAGCAATAGGTCCAACCATATGCAGGGCATAAGACAGGGGAAAAAGGTTGGTATAACCTTGACCTAAGATAATCCCATCATTCTTTATCACCATTCCATATTACATTAACTTTACTGATGGAAAAATAACCAAGTAGTTCTTGCTCTCCGGCTGTTAGTTTCATCCTCTTTCCTCCAATTTAGTATATCCTCAAGTTGTACCAGTGCAGGTTGGCTGTAGGGACTGCACTGTAGTTGAGATCACAGAAATTAGCTGGGTTTTAAAAAAAACTCAAACAAAAACCACCCCCAAAAACCCAACCCCCAAAATCTCTGAATTTGGCATCCCTTAAGTATCTGCCAACAAACTCAGTCAGATCTAGCAAACACCTAAATACATACTTACACTGCATTTATTTAAATATGGTTATATCTAAAGAGTTGCTGCTTTGCTTCTCAGCTAATAATATAGCTCTTATGCATCACTTGTACTGAGCTGTACAAACTATTTCACACAATAAATCAGGCATTTAAGAATTTAAGTTGAGAGATAATACTTTCCAGCAAGGTCTTGGGTCTTGCCTCATTGAGGTCCAAGGGAAAAGGATGACATGTGAGGTGAGGACCTGCACAAAAAGCTGTTTGGCTCAAGGAAAAATATATTAAAACTGCTGGGTTACACAAGTGCTTGGTTTAACCATGCTTTTTTATTACATGGCTAAGACAGTCCAAGCAAGAAACTTTGAATGAAACATCACTGTAAAGACATTCAAGGAAGCAACTGAAAATTTTAAGGGAATCAGAATTATAAACCCTTGGGTTATTTATTAAGGACTCTTCTAAGACTCCAAAGTTTTGGAAAAACAGAATTCTATTCATTCCATGTCCATAAGTGAAATATCTGCATGCACTCAAGAAGAGAGCTGGGATACATTGGAGCATCATGGAAGAAATCCTGGATGTCTATTTTGGATTTATCGCTAAGCTTTCTGGTAGCAGGAATTAATGCTTTATGCCACATGTTCTACAAACGTCTGTCATTGTACAACCAATTTAAAGGGCCTGGGTTTTTTTTTAAATAGAACAAAAGCTCATTTGCTTCAATAGTATGCACGTGTATCCATTCAGAATACGCAGCGAGAGCAGAGGGTAGGAAGGGCAGTAAGTAAATGTTGCTCCTGTTGACTTAGCATTAGCTGAAAATAGATCTGCTGGAACAAGGAGCAGGGGGGAATGAATTCAGTCTCTTATTTAGAATCAAGAGAAGCTCAGTAATAAATGTAGTTTGAATGTTTGACAGCGTGAAACAGCAGAGAGTGTCTCGTATTATAAAGAAATTGATTTGTCCATACATTTCCAAACACCCAGGGAGCCTGAGACCTTGCTGAATGTTGTCAGGAATCGCCTCTTCACCTCACCTGAAGTGCAGTTCCAAGGGAGATGCCTCTTCCTTCCTTCAATTGCTCACTTTTCTGGTGAGCCCGCAGCCCATGTGCATCTCGTCTCCAGGGGTATGAAGCAAAAGGGGCTGACGCAGTCAGAACTCTGGCTTGAGGAAAAAGCAGAGCATAATTTTATGTTGTTGTGATGCTGTGCCAGGAGGAGACATTATGGGCTTCTCACCAGCACACCTAGAGCCCTGCCTGCTGAAACACTTCCAGTCATAGCCAGGCAACACCTGAAGAAAAGGCTCATACAGGTGAAATCTTGCTGGTCCTCCCTCCCCCATAAATAGGTTGACGTGACAAATGGTCCTACATCTCCCTACAAACCACACCTCCTTAAAACGTTAAGAATCTTAATTTGAATGACTGATTTTTTGGATAACAGTAGCTAGGAAGAGAAGTTAGCTATAGCACAGTTACCTTGGGGGTTTATTGATGTCATTTATCTAACATATTGCATCTTGCCTCATTGACATACAATGTCATTAGGACAATACCAAAACCTGTATTAAGGAGAGGGAAAGAACTACAGAACTCAGCTCTTTAGCTTGTCCTTGAAACTTTTTCAGGTAGTATTGTCTCTAAATCTGCTGGAGACTCTGGAAGGGGCATTCACGTTGCCCCAACTCACCTGACGGTGAAAGCAAAGCTGATGGATTCAATACATCTTGTATTGAAGGAACCAAACAATTTCTACAGCATCACAAGCAGAGTTATGGTTGTAGGAACTCAGGAACACAATTACAAACAGAAACGTGGCCTTGCAGGTAGAAGTCAGTGTGTCTTTGTAATCCTGATAGTTTCCCAAAAATACCAGACAAATTAAAGTATTTCTGGAAAGCAGAGTCACATTTTACTTCCTGTTCAGCTTTGCCACCAAGTGGCCGCTCCACTCCATACATTTTAATACCTAATTTGGGAAAAAAAAAAAAAAAGAAGA